CCCGGGAGAGATAATAAAAGTTAACGAAAAAAAGGAAACTGCCGAAATTACCAGAAGAATAAGATTAGCGTGGACAAAATTTGGAAAACTGAGTTGGATCTTGAAAAGCACTAAAATAGAACAATATTTGAAATCAAAAATTTATGATCAGTTACTCATAGTAACTGATCATTGTCACAGTTAACCGATCACAGTGGATACTCATCAAGTCTAATATGGATAAAATAGTAAAGCACAAGAGCAATGGAAAGATCAATGCTCGGGGTGAGACGTATAGACAAACAAATAAACAAATGGATTAGAAGCAAAACCAATGTAAAAGACGCAGGAGAACATGATGGAAGGATAAAAGATGGAGCCACGAAATACAACAATGACACCATGGTTAGGAAAGAGAAGCAGAGGAAGACCACAAATGAGATGGGCTGATGACATTACTGGAGGACGGAGGACACAACTGGAAGCTAGAGGCGCAAAATAGAAAACACTGGATTGATTTGTGGGAGGCCTATGTCCAAAGTTGGATTACCAACGCTGAAGAAGAAAAAGATCACATTTACGCCACACTGACATTATACCACACAACCTATACCATTTTTTACGTTTTTCATATCAACCTTGCAAGTTTTCTATATAGACCAGAGAAATTATCAAAAAAGAAACCTATTTCATGACACTCATTGATACAAAGAAACTGCTTTTGATAAATTTGGTGATAACAATATTAAACCAAATATACAAAAGATTAAAAAATGTCATTCTTTACTTATAAACAATATATAAATAATGTAAGATCGCTATTTAATTTTAAATACTAAACGTGAAGACCTGTAAGTTATATGGAGAATTGACACAGGTTAGATACCTGTATCAAACAGTGTATTAAGAAAATCGTCCCTGGTCTAATATGCTGTCGTCAATTTTTGCAATAATGTTCGTTGTCTGGTTGAAACATCGTTGTAAAAGGAAATACGTTAATAATTTAAGTAATATATTACCAACGATTCTCTCATCCCTGATTGTTTTACCCTATTAAAAATGCCGTTCCCACGATAATAAATTCCCGAAAAAAAATCAGCAAAGCACCCGATTAATTTTGGCAAAATCCCTTCGGTAATCCTTTTATGGTTTTAAGCACTTTTTGTTGTGTTCTTCATCTGGCATATTTTTTATGAAGTAAAGTGGTAAGAGAACCAAAAGGAAGCTGAATCTCGGGCCTCAGGGTCACACATCACAAAGGTTAAACGATTCTTTACGCCTTTTTAAACTTTTTGTTCGTGGGGTATTTCAGGTAATACGATAGGGGTCCTAGGAAATAAAAAAAAAACGTTCGTGTGCTGATAGGTATAGAAAACGAAGGTATTATTGAATTGGGAAGAATTCGAAATGAGGTACGGTATCTCTAATTGAAAATCTTGATTGGGTTGCTGAGAGTGCAGGAGGTCTTTGTGCAGCGTTTTAAATTAGGCGTATTTGAAAAACTGTTCCGAAAAAGGGTTAAAATTATAGAGATTTTGATTAAATAAAAAATGTGGAAATTCAATAACGGTAAAAATTTTTAATCCTGAATAAACTAATAACTGACATTAAAATTATTATATCTATGTATCTATTGCTAGTACGTCTTCAAAATTCCAACGAAACAGAAGATTTCTCCATTAAAAAAGGAGTAAGGCAAGGTTGTATACTGTCCCCAATGCTGTTCAATTTATACGTAGAAAAAGCCTTCGCAGAAGCAGTGGAAGACTCTAATAAGGGTATTAAAGTTAACGGCATATTTATTAATAACATCAGGTATGCCGATGATACAGCCATAGTGGCAGATAACATCGAAGATCTTCAATGCCTTTTAAATGATCTAACTCTTGCAAGTGAAGCTCGGAGTTTGAAAATAAATATCAAGAAGACAAAATCAATGATTATAAGTAGAAATGATTACCCCAACGCAAAGATATATGTCTCTGGAGAAGAAATCGAACAAGTCAGGCAATTCAAATACTTGGGATGTTTGCTGAATGAGGGTTGGGACCCCGAGAATGAAATAAAGTGCAGAGTTGAACAAGCCAGAAATGCTTTTTTGAGGCTTCGTAAGTTTCTGACTGATCGCAAATTGGACTTCAACCTCCGATACAAGAGGTTGTTGCCTGTTCTCCTGTACGGAATGGAAGCATGGACGTTAAAGGCCAGTTCCATTAACAAACTTGAAGTGTTTGAAATGTGGTGCCTGCGTCGAATGCTCAGAATATCATGGACGGACAGGGTCAGAAATGAGGAAGTACTCAGAAGAGCGGGCTTACAGGATAGGGAACTTTTTAATTATGTAAAAAGTAAGAAGACTGCATACTTGGGGCACATTATACGAGGAGAACGATACACTTTTCAGCAACTGATACTCGAAGGGAAGATAGAGGGTAGGAGAGGTCTCGGACGTAAAAAAATGTCATGGCTGCGCAATATTCGACAATGGCAGGAATCCACAGCTATGAAATGCTTCGCAATGCTGCTGAAAAACAGAATTATTTAATCCAGAATATTTAACATCTCACCTGACAAGACGATGTACGGTGGACGCCTACGCAGAAATGCACGGCACCTTAAGAAGAAGAATCTATTGCTATTTGTCTCTAGCTAAATATAGTAGCACAACTTTAATTCAAATTTGCCTATCTTCCTTACTTGACAGCTGACGAAACATCCTAATAATTTATATCAATGCATGCAAGAGCTTGCAACTTGCAACTTCAACTTCGAAAGCGCATGGTTAAATACTACATTTGGTCAGTCCCTTTAATACGGTGTCGAAGCATGGACATTAAAATTATCCACCTTAATCGTCTGGAGGCCTTTGAAATGTGGCTGACAGACGTATACTAAAAATTCCATGGACGGCTATGCTGACAAATGTGGCAGTCCTTGAGAGAGCAAATTCTGCTCGCGAGCTGCTTGATAACATCAAATGTAGAAAGATGGCCTATTTTGGACACGTAGTAAGGGGAGAACGATATAATATTCTTCAACTTATTATGATGGGTAAAATCGAAGGACGCAGAGGAATTTGGTAGAAAGCAGGCCTCTTGGTTGAAGAATATCAGGCGAGTGGACAGGAATAAAGAAAGCTGAGCAACTATTTAGAATGGCTCGCCATGTTAATCGCCAACGTCAAGGGGACTTGATAGGGCACGTTAAGAACAAGAAGCATGCAAGAGAAAAACTTACAGGATTTGCATTACATTTACATTAGAAGATCCAGAATTTTCCATTTTCAGCGCCGAAATAGCAGCAATATAATGCTGTGAACTATTTAAAAAACTCTAATTATAAAGGAGCATTCATTGTTGGCTTTATTTTAACCTTTTCCGTGGCATGATTGAAGTTATATTCAGGATATTCTTCTTCGTCCTGGAGCTCTTTTCCCTTCAATTTTACCTTGCAAAATGCATTGAAGTAGCTTGTATCTGCCTTGATTTCTCATTATATGTCCCAAGTACTGCAGCTTATGGCTTTTCACGACGTTGACCAAATCCGCAGTTGTGTCCATCCCCCACAGTACTTCTTCATTGGTGACTTTGTCTGTCCATGGTATCTTCAAGATCCTTCTGTATGATCATAGCTCAAAAGCCTAAAGTTTTGATAGAGTTTCCGCCTTCAATATCCACGTTTCTCCTCACAAACACATCCTTTAAATATAACGATATTTATAAATAAACAGAGTGCATGAGAATGAAGATCGATCATATTGTAATAGGCTAGAAAATGGCAAATGAAAAATTAGAAAGCCACCTAGAAGATAGAAGCCAACAAGAAGATGTGGCAAAAAGGAGATTTATTAACATCCTTAACGAACATTTTTAAAATGCGTTATTAAAAATAGAAATAGTTAAATGAATAAAAATTTCATAAGAAAACATTTTTGAAGTTCGCACATTGTCGGGCTCTCGAGAATAATAATATTCTAGTGAAAGCCACTTTCGTCTTTCATCTTTCTCGTATCTCGTCTAAGTTAATTTGTTCTCAAATTATTTATGAGACTTTTATCCTAAACAAAATCAAATTCTTCTCTCTCGTATTAGAAATCCGGTTTTTCTTATCTGCCATCCGAGCAGGCCGTTCAAACAGCGATTGTCAGTTTTTTAACGGCGTTCATTTGTCTACCGAAATTACAGTTGATTTGATTAAAATTATTACGAGTTTGTTTATAGTACGGTTAACCAACGAAAAAAAAATCCAATGATTATTTTTGTTAGTTAAGAAACAAAAGTAATAAGTAAATAAAAATAAAAGTTTGGAAAAGAAGCATTTGTGCTGTTGATATGCTTTGTAGGCAACATTGGCGGATCTATGCATTTGCCTTGGGAGGGTAACTTCCAACTTGAGGGGTGGGGCAACTACCAATGAAACACCATTACTTTGCTAACATAGTTTATTAACATTATTGTCTGCTTTCGATAGGAAAAAACAGCAAGTGGAAAAACCACCGATTTGACTTTTTAGATTTTTTTGGTATAACCAAAATGCCAAGTCCATTTCTGTACGGCACAGTAAAATTATCGCTAGTAATTTATCATATTTATTGTAATTATAGACATCACCCATGTAGAATTCTCAAGAATTATTTTGTAGGTGACACCGATTTCGTACCGGTTCATTTGACTGAAAATTACTTTTTTCTATGAGCACTTAAAACATTTTTGTGCGTAATAATCTAATCGATATTCCTCGAAGAATTTTTTCGACGGTTTAATAGACAATCTAAGACGTTTTTAAATTTATTACTTCAATTTTTTAAGGATAATTTGGTAAATTTGGTCGTGATTATTATTATAATAACAAAAAAAGTTTCTAGCGTATTGAAAGTTTTGTAACCACCAATTGAACATTTATGTTTTTAATGACATACAAGTACGAACTGTTATTGTTTGTATGTGTTTCCATTCCAATACAATGATTGTCAGAAATTGATTGTCTTCAAAATTATGGATGTTTCATAAAAGCATACTCACCACTACTGAACGCCGCCATAGGTAACTGCCTGCTGATGCTCTCCGCTACCTCAGACGTTAACCCATAAATCCCCAGCAACTCTCTCATTGTGTTCATGGCATACTGTCTCATTTCCATAACCTGTTCTTGGCTCAGATGCGGCGGAGTTTGTGTAAAGTCCGGCACGTGAGGCTTAGACAGATTATGTATAGAAAAGCTCTGAGGTATCTTCGAATCGTTCTCGCTACTATTGTTACCCTCGTAATCAGAATTAGGGTAGTTACTTTCTCTATCGTTACTTTCAGAGTCAGTATTCGACTCGCTGTCGTTGTTTTTACTCAAATCCATCGGACTAAATCTCGGATCGACCACCAACTTCCTCGTCGCCAAAGTTTTCCTCCGTCTAACATTATTATTTACGTTATTATTGTCGTTGTACTCGCTCAGGTTCAGTGCCTCGTTGTTGTACGGGTCGTTGGTGTCGGAATAGGTGATGTTTGAACAACGCGGCTTAAAGTTTTTGCGCTTGTTACGTTTCGGTAGCTCGTTCTTCGGAGACGCCACGTAGTTGTCCTGATCTGAGTCGCTGGAGTTCGCGTTAGAGTCGAAGGGTTCCTGGTCGTGGTAGCGGGAGTAGTCGTCGACGTTTTCCATTTTGATAGTATCTGAAACAAAAAAAAAATTAATGACTTTTAGTAAGCATGTATGTACAAAAAGCAAGACAACACTTGCTTATGTTGCACCCTATTAAATATTACTTTTGAGAACAAATTTCCGATTAGTCCAAAACATCAAATAAAATATGCATTTTGGGAATTTAACTGGATATTTGTCTAATATTATTTAATTTCTATTTTTTTATTATATAAAGTACCTCTACAACTATAGCGATTGTTAAAGTTTAAATCTTGTGGTAAAGCTGAGCGGTTTTTAGAAACTGTATAATTTTAGTGACATCTGTAGGGTTGTCGAGCATTGTTGTCGAGTTGTTTGCAGTAGGTGAGGATGTGTTTCACGGTCAGGCAAACATAATCGATGCTAGTTAGGAAGTTCAGGGAGAGATGTCCAATAAACGGTTTGGGGTTCATGCAGAGTTGTTGTGATCTTTTGCCATAAGTTTTGCAGGTATCTTCTACTGGTTAGCTAGTTAAATTATGGTTATTCCGGTACTAAGGTTGGTAGCTTCTTTAACAAAATGATCTGCTGTTTGATTACCAATAATTCCAGTATGAGAGAGTGCTACATCGTGAGCAGAGAGATTTTGGAAGATATCAAAATGTTTTTAATCATTGGGTGGTCATTAAAAATTGTATTAATTAAATGGATAGATGAAAGGGAATCTGTACAAATGGTGATATGTCTGTTTTGATGGGATATGCATTTAAAAACCAAAAGAATATTATACAATTCACCAGTGTAAACGGTGCATGTTAAGATTACCGAGATGTTACAAATTCATGTTAAGTGATCACTGCACAATTAATACCAGTTGTAGTTTTATAAGCATCGGTCTTCTTCTTGAGTGCCGTCTCCCTACGGAGGTTAGCAATCATAATGCTTATTTTTATTTTAGAACTCGCTACTCTAAATCACATAGATTCTTTAACCATGAGTTCTGCCTTCGGCCAACAGATCTTCATGAGGAAAAATGAGGGTAAAGGAAGTTAACTAGTCAAGCGGGGGTCAATATTTTTAAGAAGTGGAGTAATTAATTGAGGTATAGGTTTTATGATGAGATGTTCGACATTGTTATTAGAAGAAGAGGGTATTATTTGCGAATGTTAAATTTCAAATTATTGAAAACAAAATTTGGCGAAATATAGAAAAAACAGATGTAAACAGGAGAAAGAGCAGAAAGAGAAACAAAACACAGTCAGGAAAAATTGAGATAAAAAACGAATAAATATGGGGAGAGATAAACAAAGAAGAAAAAGGAAAGACAACATAGAATGAGATAAAGTGAAAATAGTCATCTAGCGAAACATATAAAATATTGAAGGAAATAGTTAAAGATAAAGAAGATGAGATACTTAGTTGAGAAAATTCTTCTGAAATTTTCCTTTTCGTTGTGTTATGTATCTTTATAATGACTCATCAGTACTGTGAAGCATAAATTATTCCATATATCTGTACATTACACCGTTTTGCTTCTGGCAGCCAAATATTCTTGATATAAATTTTGTTAAATATGGCAGCTGTATGTGTTGATAAACATTTTCTTTTGAAATACAAAAACCTGGACATACATTTCACGTTCTACAAATCTATTATGCAGACGAATAAATTGCTTTATATAAAAAGTTTCCACTATTTCTGATGCCAGTAAATACGAATTTATACAATTTTTTTTACTATCAAGAATGTGCCAAGGAAATTCTATTAAGCTCTAATAGAAAATGTGTTCTCGTTTAACAAAGCATAATTAAATTATGAGTTACATTGAAAAAATACGGGGCCAGTAGAAAAATACTAAAGTCGTCAAATTCAAGTAGTGAATTTATTGGTTTAAGTCAACTACAAAATGTGTTGGAAATGTTCATCAAGTCTAAATACCCTACTCAACAATTGAAGTGGATAATTTTAAAATTCCTAAAATTAACATATAAAACTATTTTTAAAATAATTGCCTTATACTCTATATGCTATCTCTATTGCCAATATTTTTGCATGTGGTTTTTTCTCCCTATTCTTATCGGTCCTTATCTCGTACAAAGAGAGACATGTTGTTCCAAACATGAATATATCATTCGTATAAAAGTGCTTGTATTGGCTTTACCAGTTGTCAATAAGTCAAGAAATCTATTTAACACAAAAACATTATACCGCAAAGACGTTAAGAACTAGTACAGCTCAAGCAATCAGTTCGTTGGATCCAACAAGGCATATCTCAACAAGAGGTTGCTATGAGGCTAAATGTGTCGCAAAATGTGATAAGTCGAGCATGGAATCGGTATGCAACTGGATCTGCAACATACAGGCATGGAGGAGGAAGAGAACAATCTACAACTCGTCGGCAAGACCGTTTTGTAGTTCTGACGACAACAAGAAATCCCATACACTCAGGCATGCTACTGGACGAGCGATTTCCAGTCAAAAAATCAGAAGACGGTTACATGCATCCAATTTAAGGGCTAGACAGCGCGCTACTCATCCACGACTAACTAGGGAGCAGCGTGCATGCAGATATCGCTGAGCGATGGAATACTATCAGTGGAATTTCGAAAATTGGAGGAATCGTCTCTTTACTGACGAGTCCAGATTTTGTTTGTATACAAATGATGACCGAATATTGACGTGGAGGGAAAGTGGATAGTGTTACAATGAAAATCTGAGAGTCCCAACCACTCTTTTTGAAGGTTGTAGCATTTTCAATTTCATTGATTCTTTGAAGTATATTGAAGTCCCCTCGTATACGAAATATTAAAATCACCTTATATATTTTTGATAGATCTAAAAATATTTCGTACGTATTTAAACCCAAATATCTTTTCATTTCTTTCTTAGGTCGGCCAAGTTGAAATAAACCATTTTAGAGTTGTTTATTAATTTATATATATATATATATATCCCGTTTATAGCGTAATCCGCCTTTGGGTTCCCGTTCGCCAAGCCTGTCTATTCTGCCAGTCTTCTTCAAATAGATTTCTTGCTGACATGGCTTTTGAAATTCCTTGCATCCATGTTGTTGGTGGTCGTCCTCGTTTTCTTTTCTCTGGTGGTACCCATTCTAATATTTTTTTTGGTAGTCTTTCTGTTTATTTATTTTACTTCGGCAAATTCTTTTCAAGTTTATGCGTCGCAAAAGGATATGTACGTCGTTTCGTGGTGTCTTGTTATGTCAGCGTTTGTATGTATGCGATCAATTTTAATAGAGAATTTCTTCACTCTCGTAGCAGCTTTCAAGAGTGGTTCAACGTTATGTCCAAATTCACGTCGAATTTGTAAAGTATTCTGTTTTCGTCTTTTGTTATGAAGAAAATGTAGCAGTTTGTTATTGGTTTTGTGGCAGTAAATGCTTCAATTATTAATGTTTTGAGTGAGGATTGCAGGACATCCTCGTTTTGTTTTTCTTTTGTTCCTGCTTTTATCCAAGGCTTTTGGCAGTTTTGGAGATGGAGGTTTTCGTGATGCAGAGAGAGTGGAGCCCTCAGTTCCAGGTTCCAGTTATGGTTTCAGAAACTTAATTGTGATCATGTGAATTAAGGTAACATTTTGTTCAAATTTTAAACTAAAGACAGACATTTTTTTATGAAATAATAATTGCTTTCGTTGACATTTAAAATTGTTAAAATTTAGGTTTTGAGTAAAGCTGTCAATTTGTGTTTAGTTTTTTTTTTGAAATTTAATGTTAATTTATGACAGCTCGTTTTAGTATTTTGATGTTGATTTGTTTTGTTTTGTTTTAAAAGGTTAACCTCCATGCAATTTTGTGAGTTTTGTAGCAATGGAGTTTGTTAATGGATGACACATGTAAGTTTTTGAATTTTGTATTTCTCCATGTAACTGTTTGTGGTGACACATAAATAAAATGTTAAATTTTATTTTCTTAACTTTTTATTTATTTTTTTGAGCTAACCCTTTTTGAGTTTATTTGAAAAAGATATGTTTTTTATGTTTTGATTTTGTTTTCTAATTATTTCCCTAGTTACAACTAGTGGTTGTAATAGGCATAATTAGGCACCTCAAGTGGCGCCCTATATTAAATTCCTTGAGGTGTTTCTTGTTTATTTTTATTTTGTTTATCCCAAGAGCTCTTTATTTCATTTTTTTGTAGTTCCCCCATTCTAACCCCCATTTTACTTTATCCACGACCCCAGCTCTCCTACGAAACCTGAGTGTCCGTTCGCATCAGTAGCGATTATTTTGCTTGCCCTATTTCCACCCCCAATAGTTTTTTTCCCCCAATTTTCTATCTCCCATATTAATGCCCCCTGTGGTAGGCAAAATATTTCGTTACAAGGTGGATCCGTTTGCGTGAGGGGAGGCATATGTTTTGACGGTCGCACGGACTAAGTCGTCTTAATTAATGAGACAATGACTGCTTTATGAATGATTATTGATTTCCTGACATTTTTGTGTTATGCAATTTCTTAGTTCTTCGCGATTATATCACGTACCTGTCTGTCAAAACATTCACCCTCTATTTTCACCCCTATACGGAATAGTATGTATTGTAATTGTAACAACGTTGTAACAAGAAAGAAAATTTGATACAATTGGAAGACTATAGAATCGAGCTTTAGCGAGCATGAGATCAGATCAATCGACCAGAGATTATGAGAAAAAAACAATTAAATTTTAGTCATCTATTGAAATTTATTATATTAACTAAAGTTTCGGCCAGTTTTCGTGCCTTTCTTAAGTGATCTATTTTTGGTATGTGTTTACACTTTATAGTCGTTTAACTGAATAAGTTGAGGGTGGAGAACTGTTTGTCTCAAGTTGGTTATTCAGAATTATGTCTGTATTTTTTAATTTGTTGATTTCCATAGATTCTAATAAAGATAGCTTAAGGCCTCCATTTTGAATGTGAAGAATCTGAAATTTATCATTAACAGAATGATTATGGTCTGGAAGGTAAAATGCGCACGTAGAGTCTGTTTTTCTATTATTGAAAGCCCTTTTATGTTCTGCTATACGTTTGATAAAAGTTCTGCCAGTTTGA